GAAATAAGTCAGGCAGAGAAGGACAAATACCATATGTTTGCACGTATAGGAGGATTAGGAGGAACTTGACGGAGGACCAAGGGGGAGAAGAAGGGCGGAAATGGTGGGGGAAAGGGAGAGAGGCAAACCATGAGAGACTCTTGAATGCTGACAAAAACTGAGGACTGATGGATGTGGGGGGGAGGGGGGGATGGGCATGAAGGAGGGCACTTTGGGGATGAGCACTGAGTGTTATGTAGAAACTAATTTGACAATAAACTATTTGTAAAAAAAAAAAACTGAATAAACATTTAAAAAAATTTAAATAAACAAAAAAAAAATTTTTTAAACTTTGTTCATTTTTGAGAGAGAGAGAGAGAGAACACAAGTGGGAGTGGGACAGAGAGACAAACAGCATCCAAAGCAGGCTGCAGGATCTGATCTGTCAGCACAGTGCCCAATGCAGGGCTCAAATTCACTAACTGTCAGATCATGACTTGGGCCAAAGTCAGGCGCTTAATTGAATGATTCACTGAGGTGCTCCCAAGGATATTTTTAATATGGAACTCTTCATGAATTTGCATGTCATTCTTGCACAGGGTATCCATGCTAATATTCTCTAAATTGTTCTAATTTTAGTATATGTGCTGCTGAAGTGAGCACTTGTAATGAATCTTAAAGACTACATCAGCTAAAAATGAGGAAGAATCCAAATAGTGACAAATAATGGTAACTAATAATGCAACACAGTGATATACAGAAACACTGTATTATTTTGGAAACAAGATAATAAAAACTGTATTGCACTATATGATAGCACAGAGCAGCCTGATATCAGTACTGAAGCATCATAGGGTCACTCTATCCTTGACCATGAATATTTAATGCTTTTAATCAGCTCACAAAATGAAGTCTTACCACTCCTTGGAAATCTATGACAAAAAGGAGCTCTTTTCCAGTTTTAATAACTAAACATTTTAGGAGGAAGATAGAAATATGTTAGCCTCTTCTCCAAGGAATCAAGTGTTGTCCTTCCACATGAATGAATACATACATACATACATACATACATACATACATACATAGAAGGCTGGCTTAGTTCTGACTATATGACTGTTTAGTTCTCTCAGACACACATTCTCTCCCAGCTTCCTGGTAGTCAGGTGCAACTGAAACAATCTGAAATTGTTTGCTCTCATTGTCATCATTTGACCCTTGCTTCTGAACTCAGTCCAGCATTTTTTTGTATCACTGCATGAAATACCATAAGTCATAATTCCAGGAGCCCTTCAATGACCTGTTTGGAGAGACTGGTTAATGGGAGTGAGTCTAGTACAGATTTTTGGCATCAGAACTTGGTATGGTATGACTCAGTATACAGGAACTATAAATGACTGTTTCTCTCCCTATGGCTTTGAAAGGAGGTCAAAGCCCATGTTAGGAACTTTCCTATTGCTGGAGAATGAAGAGATTCCCAAAATACAGAGTAAAACACATAGACTTACAAATAAAAGTTGGTCTCAAATTTCAAGGATATAAGGATATTCTTATTTTTTGAGTAGCTATGCAGTGCATTTTCCCTCAAACTACACACCACGTAAATGTGCTTCCAAAAGTTTTCTGAGAACAGAATCCATCTGAGGGAATTCATCCCAAAGCAAAGCTACCAAATCATATTTCTTCCAATTTCTATGCTATTTTCACCAAATATCCATCTCTAAGACAGCAATCCACTCCTCCCCTCTAGGACACTAGAGAACATGAAAAGATGAATGGAAATAAACAATAATAAATCACATGTTGGATATATATATATATATATACACATATATATACATATATATACAAATATATGTTAAACGAGTTTGATTTATGAAAATTAATAAGCAATTTTTGAAATTAATAACTATAGTTTAAGAATACTAAATATGATACATTATACTAACAGTCTTGGTAAATTTTTGCGTCAGCTCTTAAGTCCTGGATGAAAGAGGACATTTAATGGTGTGAATCCTACCCTGATCAACCCAGGAACAAGCAAATAAATAGAGGAAAGGAAGACTACAAATAGAATATAAACACCACCATCTTTCTTTCATCTTTCAACTTTTATTGTTTTAAAGGTTCATGGGTGAAGACTTTGTGTTAACGTGTATTATCCAAGCCTGAAATAAATGTTCAATCGATGTCTAAGACTGTCAGCCAATGAATCAAAATCAATAGTACCCAGATCAAAGTTCTAGGAAGGGGACAAAATAAGTGGATTGCTATAGGTACAACATAAGAGCTCCCAGGTAAGTTCTGGGGAGAAAAAGAAACAAAATTGGTAGCCTGGAGTATTTTAGGTTGATTGTGAGGGAAATTGTATCAACATGAAATTGCAATGATTTAGCAAAAGGTCCATGAACACTCTTCCTCATGGACTCTTTAATTACTAGTGTGAATGTTTAGGAGTTTGGGATTATTGGGCAACCTTATTTTGTAATTATTTGAAAACTGCATCCTATATGTAGTTAAGAATTCCCATGGCTCTTCTTATGTCTGTTTTGTAGAAATTGCACTCAACTGTGTTTCAGTTATGTTTTTATTTCTCCAAAGAGAATTGTCACTCAAACAGAAAAGTACTCAACCCTAAATGTTAAAAGTCAAAAAACAAAATATATGCTATTTTTTCCTCTTTAACCATTTCTATATTTTACACATTTATATTTTTTTATGTGGGATTAATTAATATAAGTGTTAAAGGTCAGAGATATATTGTTTGAAGAAGAATTAGGGGCAGCTGGGTGGCTCAGTCGAATGTCAAGCGTCCGACTTTGGGCTCAGGTCATGATCTCATGGCACATGAGTTCAGGCCCCACGTAGGACCCTGTTCTGACAACTCAGATCCTGGAACCTGCTTCAGATTCTGTGTCTGTGTCTTCCTTTCTCTCTACCCCTCCCCTGCTCGCGTTCTTCTATCTCTCTAAAAAACCATGTTTTAAAATGTTTTTTCCAATTTTTTCAATAGGAAATTAAATGTTCTTCATCCAGCATGTTTGTTTGTTCATTTGTTTGTTTTCAATTCTTTAAACATTTTACCAATAAAATGGAAACAATTTGCCAAATTCCAAGTGAAAATGACAATAAGCCATTTTCCCAGTTTCCTATCAATATTTGGAGGAATGGCAACCATTAAACCTAATAAAACTTTTGTTGTTTTTTTTTAAATTTTTTTTTAATGTTTTTATTTATTTCTAGGAGAGAGAGAGTGAGAGACAGCGTGAGCAGGGGAGGGTCAGAGAGAGAGGGAGTCACAGACTAAACAGGCTCCAGGTTCTGAGCTGGCAGTCAGCACAGATCCCGACGCGGGGCTCGAACCCACGAACCGCGAGATCATGCCCTAAGCGAAAGTCGGACGCTCAACAGACTAAGCCACCCAGGCGCCCCAAACTTTTGTTGGTTTTTTAATGAGCTTTTAATTTTAAAATAATTGTAGAATTAGTTGTTCTAGTTGTAAGTTGTAAAAAGAGAAATATTTTCCATAATTTTCCCCAATGGTAACATCTTACACATCTGTAGTATATTATCACAACCAGAATACTGAAACTGATGCAAAAGACTGATCTTATTCAAATATCTCAAGTTTTACTTGCACTCATTTGTGTGTGTGTTAGTGCGTATGTGTGTGTTCTATGCAATTTTATCACGTGTGTAAGTTTGTGTATCCACTACCACGTCAAGATACAGAATAGTTCCAATAGCACAATGATTCCTAGTTATTTCCTTTTATTATCACCCCCATTTTCCAGCCCTTTACCACGCTCTACACTCCCTAACTCCTGGCAACAATTAATCTGTTCTCTCTTTCTTTAATAATTTCAAGAATGTTATACAGATGTAAACATACAGTATGTGTGAGAATGACTTTTTTCACTCCATATAATTTCTCTGAGATTAATCCAAGTTGCTGTGTATACGAATAAAGTTTTTAAATGTTAACATCATTAAGTAATATAAGACAAACATAGTCATATTTTTATAATGATTATAAGAATTTTTCAATGGTCTCGTTTAGTGCTTCTCAATCACCTGGCAGCTTGCTAAACTAAAACAGCTATCTGGGCTCCACCTCTAGAGATCTTGGTAAAGTGGTCAGAGAAGGACCTGAAAATGCACATATCTACAAGTTCCTCTTCAGTGAGGCTGATACTGCTGACCCAACTTTGAATAATACTGTTTTTAATTTATAATTAAGAGCTCATTAGAATTCCAATTTGAAATATTGTTCTATAATAATTCATTGTCACCTTCCTATACCTGACATTTATGGGTTTGAGAGAGAAAGTAATATTCTCAGTCTTCTCAAAAAATCCTCCATCATTTTCAGGAGGAAACCAGACTTTCAAAATCAGATACCAAATAAACAAAAAGAAAACAGGCAGTTTACAAAAGAGGAAATACAAAGAACCAATAAACTAAATGAACAAAAGTGTTTCTCAGCAGTAATCAAGAAAAAGCACATTAAAGCAATGAGCTCATAAAATCTTATTGGCAAATATTTCAAAATTTGGTAACCTCACATGTGGGTAAGATAATAGAAAAACACACAGCCATAATAGCAATGAACAATTACCTTAATGAGCAATTTCTATAATTTATTAACATTAAATATGCTTTATGATCCAGTTACTACCATACCAGATCTCTATCTGCCAAATGCATGTACAATGCAGCATATTATAAAGGTTTTTTTTTTTAAGGTTCCCAAAAAGTTAAAGCTTCCTAAATGTCCATAAATAAAGGAAAAACTAATTAACATCATTCAGCAGTTTGAAAGAAAATGAAGTTACTCTCTATGCACAAAGGTAAAAATATTTGAAACAAAGTTTGATGAAAAACGACAATATAATGCATATAGTTTGTCATTTTTGGTAGCATTCATATACTACAAATAATAGCAAATAACTATGAAGCACTTACTACATTTTTGGCACTATGCTAACTAAATTATATGCAATAACTAATTATTTTATTCCTCAAAACAGCTGTATAGGCTAAGTACCATTAATAATAACTAATATCCAATTTGTGGATCCAGTCCAAGATGGCAACATGGGAGCCCATGAAGTCCCCTCCTCCTACAGACATACCAAATGTGCAGCTATACATGAAGAAATTCCCTCTGAAAGAAATCCAGAAACTGCGGGACATATATCAGATGAACAAAGAGCATCCACATCAAAATGGCGTCCACATCAAAATGGGTAGGAAAGGCTGATACACACTATCAACCCCACCCCTGGCACACCAATCATACAATCAGGAGGGAATTCCCAACTCCAAGTTTCTCCCCAAGGGGTGAAGAGTTTGGACCTCATTTCCAGCACCCAAATGTTTAAGAATTGCACATGAGGGACCCCATAATGTCTATCTCTGCAAACCAACAGGGTTTGCATCCACAAAACCCACTAGGCTTGTATCCTATAGGATACATAGGAACAGTTCTTAATGGGCTCTAGAGGACTCACCATGGCTACCTGCCATGGAGGTTAGGAGCAGCAAAAATGTCATGTCTCAGTCTTCCCAGTCTTTTCCTGAAAAGGTTCTATTTGGATACATTAAAAACTGCTTACTGGGGCGCCTGGGTGGCTTAGTCGGTTAAGCGTCCAACTTTCACTTAG